TGATTTCTTGTAAATGGGGCTGTTTGTCTGTGGCTGATGATCTGAACACAAAGGAGATGTGCAAGAACAAGAAGACGAAGGGGGGGTTCTGACAACTCCGAGACCAGGAGCTGGTAAGTGTGCACTGCTGAAGAAGATGGGCCTGAGAGGACGGGCCCCTCTCGCCAGCCACCTGTCATCACACGCACTGGTAGCTAGCCCCTGACCACGTTTCCTTTGCGAAGATGCAAAGGAGCTGTGGGAGATTACTTACCTAGAGTGCCTCTGGCATGTGCTAGATAAGTTCAGTAACCAGAAGTCTCTATGCGTGAATGGAAGGCATGGCCAGCCACGACTCGGGAGCTCCCAGGGCTTCATTCATGTGCAGTGTGGGTTGTGCTGCCGTGTCTCCACGCACCCTCTTGTCTCACCCCTTCCCTAGAGTTCACAGACTGGTGAGTGCTCTGTCCAACGTCTACTTTAGCTGAAAAGTTACTCATTTGTTTTGTTTTTGCTGGTACTAGGACTTGAATTCAGGGCCTCAAGCTTTCCCTTGGCTTTTTTTTTTTTTTTTTTAAATCAGGGCTGGTGTTCTGCTATTTGAGCCATACTTCCTAGTTCTGTTTTTTTTCCCCTGATTAACTGGAGATAAGAGTCTTACCCCCGGGCGTTGGTGGCTCATGCCTGTAATCCTAGCTACTCAGGAGGCTGAGATCTGAGGATCACAGTTCAAAACCAGCCCGGGCAGGAAAGACTGTGAGACTCCTATCTCCAATAAACCACCAGAAAACCGGAAGTGGCGCTGTAGCTCAAGTGGTAGAGCACTTGCCTTGAGCTGAAGAGCTGAGGGACAGGGCCCAGGTCCAGAGTTCAAGCCCCACAACCAACAACAACAAAAAAAGTCTTACCGATCTGTCTGCCTGAGCTGGTTTCAAACCACAGTCCTTGTATCTCAGCCTCCTACATGGCTAGGATTATAAGGGTGAGTCACTGCTGTTGCTGGAGGTTTTGCTGCTTCCTTGCCATGCGGGGTTACTCACCTCATCCACCTCAGGGTGCTCCACGTGCTCCCAATCCTCTCCTATCTCCGGAGACGTCTACACCTGTTTCTTTGCCCAGCTATCACCATGGGTCCCTTTCCTGTCTTTATCGATCCCTGCCTTGTTTCAGACCTTATACTCAAGCTTAGTTTCCATTTCCTGGACCTCATCACACTTAGAGCTAAAATACTCGCTGTCCTGCCTACTCCCATTTGCCTCCTCCACTCCTTCTACAGCTCTGCCTCCTCCTGCCTGCCTCCTCTACTCCTTCTACAGCTCTGCCTCCTCCTGCCTGCCTCATGCAGAGCTTCTAGAGCTTCTCAGCTCATGGAAATGGCAGATTCTCTGTGTATTTGCTCCCAGTCCACTGACTCTCTTCTGTATGTAACACGTAACATGCTATCTGTTCTTTAATTCTTCATTGCTGCCATCCCATTTTCTCCTTCTTGCCCCTCAAGGAAAAAATCATAGTCCTCTGTGGGTCTGGTGTTTATCCAGCCCTCTTAGCTCTGCCATAGAAAGCCTTTCAGGTCCAGCTTAAACTTAGTCTCTGTCTCTGCACGTGCTACTCTGGAGCACTCTTCTGTTTCCCTGGCCCATCCTCAGTGGCTCTTCACACCGCCTCTCCGTTGTCTCTCAGTGACCCTCAGGATGAAGTCAGGAGTCACTGGGCTGTCCAGGCTCACTGTTCACCCTGAGCTTGTTCTATGAAGTGTGGAGGAGGAGGAGGAGGTCTGGCGTTACAGTGCTGGTTGCCAGGCACCACTGCAGCAGGGTGGAGCTCTAGTCAGTCTGCACCTCTGCTACCCCTCAAGCCTGGGCATGGGGACTCCCATTTCTCATTTCTTAGAGGCAGGGGTTCTTTGAGGATAACTTGGGAAGTTTGCCAGGGATTATTTCTGATGGGTGTCAGAATCTGGATAGTTTGAGACACAGTTAATGCAGTTAAAGCTGGTGCTCTGAAAATGGCTTTGAAAGGCCTAGGTTAAAAGAATGTTTCAGTCGGGCACCAGTGGCTCACGCCTGTCATCCTAGCTACTGGGGAAGCTGAGATCTGAGGATCACGGTTCAAAGCCAGCCAGGGCAGGAAAATCCCTGAGACTTATCTTAAATTAACCACCAGAAAACTGGAAATGGCACTGTGGCTCAAGTGGTAGAGCACTTTCTTGAGCTGAAGAGCTCAGGGACAGTGCCCTGGCCCAGAGTTCAAGCCCCATGACTGCCAAAAAAAAATAAATGTTTCTGGCTGGGAAGGTGGCTCAATGGTAGAGTGCTTGCCTCGCATGCATGAGGCCCTGGGTTTGATTCCTCAGCACCACATAAGCAGAAAAAGCTGGAAGTGGCGCTGTCACTCAAGTGGTAGAGTGCTAGCCTTGAGCTGAAGAGCTGAGGGACAGCGCCCAGGCCCAGAGTTCAGGCCCCACAACCGACAAAAAAAAAAAGTTTCAGGGCTGGGAAGGTGGCTTAGTGGTAGACTACTTGCCTAGCATGCATAAAGCCCTGGGTTCAATTCCTCAATATCACATATATATATATATTTTTTTTGGGGGGGGGGTCTGGTTGTGGGGCCTGAACTCTGGGCCTGGGCTCTGTTCCTCAGCTCTTCAGCTCAAGACTAGAGCTCTACCACTTGAGCCACAGCGCCACTTCCGGCCTTTTTTTTTTTTTCATTTTGCTTATGTGGTGCTGAGGAATCAAACCCAGGGCCTCAGGCATTGCAAGGCAAGCGCTTTACCACTGAGCCACCTTCCCAGCCCACATAATTTTTTTTTTAAAGGAAGTTTCTTGATGTGATAGTAGCAACCTATCTCCTTGGTAGATGTGGCATAGCTCCCGGTACCCCATGGACATCAGACTAGCATTTCAAAGACAGATCACACCAGGTATTAACCAGGATGTGGTTGGGCTGAAACTCAGCACTGCTGGTGGAATGAGGTGTGTCTACACTGTAGAATAATAATCTGATAACTACACCCACAGGCTCACACCTGTCACCCTAGCTATGCAGGAGGCTGCGATCTGAGTATCATAGTCTGAAGCCAGCCTGGGCAGAAAAGTCCATGAGACTCTTAGCTCCAATAAACTACTCAGAAAAGCTAGACAAGACACTGTGGCTCAAGTGGCAGAGTGTTAACATTGAGCACTAAAAGGCTCAAGGACAGTGCCCAGGCCCTGAGTTCAAGCCCCAGGATCAGCGGGGGGGGAGGGGGGTGGGGGGGAGTAAAAACAGTGTTCCAAGCCGGCCATCAGTAGCTCGTGCCAATAATCCTAGCTACTTAGGAGGCTGAGATCTGAGGATCACGGTTTGAAGCCAGCCTGGGCAGGAAAATCCATGAGACTCTTCCCTCCAATTAACCATCAAAAATCTGGAAATGGATCTGTGACTCAGGTAGTGGGCCTCAAGCACAGAAGCGCAGGGACAGTGCCCAGACCCTGAGTTCCAAGACGCAGGGGGACAGGCACACACAAGGGAAGATTCGCACAGTAGGTAAGCTACTCTGCCTCCTCTGGAAGGGGAGCTGTGCTGGGTGGGGCAGGAGGATCGGAGCCCTGGTAGCAGCTGCCCTGGAGCATCCCTGGAGCATGCCTGGACTCCGATGCCACTCCTGGAGGGGTTTATTCTTGTCTTTTGGGACTCTCCCCAGCCAGTCCTAGCCAAGCACTCATGCTAACAGAACCCTGGGAGCAGCAGCCCTGAATTGCTGGTCGGGCTGGAGTGGACCAGTTATAATCCTGTTAACAAGCACGTACTTGATTGTGGTTTTACCACAGCCATTTTGAGACCTATTTTCCCTCCATTCTTTGGGTGAAAATAAATCAAGTTATGACTTCCACCCTAGACACAGAGCCCCCCACCCCCCCAGCTCCACGCTGTGCTTTTTTTTTTTTTTTAGTCTGGGGTCTTGAACTCTGGGTTTGGGTGCTGTCCCTGCGCTCTTCAGCTCAAGGCGAGCGCTCTATAGCTTGAGCCACAGCGCCACTTCCAGTTTTCTGGTGGTTTATTGCAGATAAGAGTCTCGCCGGGCTGAGATGTAGCTCAGTGGCAAAGCACTTGCCTAGCAAGTGCAACATCCTGGGTTCGATCCCCAGTACCAAAAAAGAAAAGACAAAAAAAAATACAGTTAAAAAAAAAAAAAGAGTCTCGCGGCCTTTCCTGCCTGGGCTGGCTTTGAACAGTGATCCTCAGATCTCAGCCTCCTGAGTAGCTAGAATTACAGGTGTGAGCCACTGGCGCCCGGCTTAACACTGTACTTTTTCACTCCTTGTCCTCATGGGTGAAGAACATGCTTTGCTCAAGACACTTGTTTCCCAAGACCAAGTGTTGAAAATGGTACTCTTTTCTGCGGAGTCCTTTCCATCTGTTCCCTGATAACTGAACCCTCCTAACAATGTTATGGAATTGCTGGCATTTTACCCAGGATGCCTCAGAGAAGTGGCGGGGTTTCCTGGAGGTATCAGGCCCAGGGTTCCAGCCCAGGTTTGTGTTAAAGTCAGCAAGTAGACTTAACCCTGTGAACCTCCCTGCTGTCCTAAATGTTCCACATCCAGGTGGCTATAGAAGGAGGTTTATAGACGGTACAAGGGCATTTAAGATAGCAGATGTGCTGTGCTGTGCTAGACCTCAGAGGTATTGAGCACAAGTCTATATTTCAGTGTATGTATGGCACCAGACAGGTGGGAATTCTACTGGTAAATGCACTGCAGCAGCAGAATGGCTTGGGATTCCTCGTTAGGCTGCAGGTATATCCAGACACCAGTAGCCACTATGACCCAGGTCGTGAGACACCAGTGAACCTGCAAGCAGAGAGGAGCTCTGCTGCTCCAGTGGCAGTCAGTGTGGTGCTGCATCTACCAGGCCTGTGCTCTGCCATCTTCCCTGTGGTCCTGCCTTGCCTATTGTGTGAGAAAAGAGAAAGGTTTTTGTCTGGGAAAAAAAGAGGTCATAAAATTTCCTGTCCTTTTTCTCTTTTTGTCCTCTAGTGTTGAGCATGCTTCATAATCCATTGGGAAATGTCCTAGGAAAAAATCCCTTGAGCTTCCTGCCTCTGGATCCCCTTGGGCCTGACCTGGACAAGTTTCCAGCACCTTCTGTTAGAGGACCCCGCTTGGACACCCGGCCCATCCTGGACTCCCGTTCTAGCAGCCCCTCTGACTCAGACACAAGCGGCTTCAGCTCTGGATCGGACCATCTCTCAGACTTGATTGTATGTACCGAGGGCAGCAGGCAGCAGGCGGAGCAGGGCAGGGGGCAGTGTGGCCTGTGTGTCTGCAGGGAAGGAGGGTGGAGGCCATCTGTCCTAGAGCTTGAGCTGAGGAGCCTGTCCTGTGTGTGCAGGCTGGGAGGCGGGCGTGGGGTCTTTACGGCCTCCCAGCGCAGCAGAACCAAGGCACTTTGAATACCCATGAGCAGTGTGTTCTAGGACCTGCGCTAAGTGCTCTCTTTTTACTTGTTACTCGAAAAGCTGTCTAAAAACAGACCATCCAAGAGGTAAATATAGGTGTCCTAGGAGTGCTGTTGTTTCCTGATGTACCTGGTATTTTCTTTAGACTTTATGTGGTATCATTTATATGTCTTTATATATGCTATCTTAAAGTTTTAAAAAAATTGTTATTATAAAGATGTTATACAGAGGGGTTAGTGTTTCATAAGTCAGGTTATAAGTATCTTACTAAAAATGTTAAGCCAGGTGCTTGTGGCTCATGCCTATATTCCTACCTACTCAGGAGTCTGAGATCTGCATATTGTGATTTAAAGCCAGTCTGGGCAGGAAAGTCTGCAAGACTCTAATCTCCAGCTAACCATCAAAACCAAAAACAACATGGAAGTGTTGCTGTGGCTCAAGTGATAGAGCACTAGTCTTGAGCACAAAAGCTCAGGCCATGAATTTAAGCCCCAGGACTGGCACACACAGAAAAGATTTTAAGTCATAATTTATTAAATGACGTTAGTTAAGTAGCAGCCCTAAGATTTTAATCCAGCTTTGACTGTAGCTCCTGCATTTTCCCCTGACTCATGCTGGCTCTCAGTCTGAGGCTACCCCAGATCAGTGAAGTGCTGCTTTGCCGTTGCTTGTGCCTTTCATGGTCTACATCTACAGCTGTACATAGCATGTCACAAGGCCAAGCTTAGCACCTGCCATGCCTAGTGGAGGTGGCACATGGTTGAGAGGAGCTGGCAGGAAGAAGGGCTGGCACGGCTGGCTGACGGGCAGAGCGAGCGGCTCCCTGATGTGGGCACTTTCAGCCACCACTGAGCCTCGTTTTCTGTTACCACCTTCCCGAGCTGAACATCCAGCCAGCAGGTTTGTTTTCTCCCCCTCGTCTCTTCCATACCGAGGACTGACAGCATGCACGGTGTTCATGGGCTCCAGAGCTCTCCCTGAGCTTGGCGTTGGAGGCTGGCCTTGGTGTTGCCACTATATAATCTGTTCAGGTCTCAGGTTCTTAAAAGGGCATCCAAAGCAAACACCCTCTCCTGCCCCTCCGGCCACATGGGGTGCTGCCAGCCCTTTGTTACTTAGGAACTTAGTTGTGACCAACTATTTGATTGATGAAACTTTCACAGGTATCCTACTCAAGCGTTAATTGGGAAGAGGAAAAAACAGTTTTTTAGATTTACAGACACTGTTCTATAAGCCAGCTATTTAGATGTGTTGGTACTGTGTCCTTTACCCTGCTGAGTTGGGATGGTGAGCTATGACAAACGCATGTTTAGCATAGCGTTCCTATACCTCTCTTTTTTGATGGGAGGGGGGGTGGCACGCGGAGCGGGGGTGGGAGGGAAGGGTGGTGGTAAACAAGGTCTCTCTGTTTAAAGCCCAGATTGGCTTTGAATTCCTGGTCTCCTCCCTCAGTCTCCCTAGAGCTGGGGTTACATATACAAGGATACCCCAACCAGGTCCCATACAATTCTGATAGAACACAGAGCCTCAGTGAATATGACCAAAGAAAATAAAATAGAAACAAGCTATATCTTAGCTAGTTAGGACTGAAAACTTGAAAAACATTTCGTGCCTATGGTGCCTGTCATGGTAATGTGCCCTTGTGATTCTAGCCACTTAGTATGTGGAGGCAGGAGGATCAGGTTTTCCAACCAGCCCAGGGAGCATAGCATGAACCTGTCTCCAAAATAATGAGTATGAGATGTAGTTGACTCTGTAAGTAAAACACAAATTCACTTACGATGCATGAAAGCATATGGCAGTGCTGGGTGCTGATGACTCACACCCGCTGAGATCTAAGGGTCATGGTTCAAATCCACCCTGAGCAGGAAAGTCTACGAGACTCTTATCTCCAATTAACTACCAGAAAACTGAAGTGCTGCTGTGGCTCAAAGTGGTAGAGCACTAGCTTTGAGCAGAAGAGCTCAGGGACAGTGCCCAGACACTGAGTTCACGCCTCATGACAGACCAAAAACCAAAAAACAACCACAAACCTGTCTGGCAATATGGATAAAATGTTGGATGGGTAGAGGTGAACTTGATTAAATCACAGTGTAGCCTACAACTAATCTTAAATGCATGGGAAGAAAGTCTAAAGAAAATATATTCAGTGATAAGGGTGTTAGGTATTTCCCACAATTTCTGTTGTACAGTTACTGCTTTATAGCAAACAGCCTTTGGAAATCTCTCTTCCTTCCTCCTTCCTTAGTCGAGCCTTCGCATTTCCCCTCCTCTGCCCTTCCTATCCTTGGCCGGGGGCAGTTCCCGGGACGCTCTGAAGACGGGCGTGGGGTCTCGGATGGACCAGGAGCCGGCCACTCTCGCTGCAGTCGCCCCCTCCCCAGCCAGTGCTTCCAAGAGATGCTGGCCAGGAGCATCTGTGTGGCCGTCCTGGCACCTCCTGAAGGCGCCCAAAGACCCCTTCAGCATAGAGCGAGAGGCCAGGCTGCACCGGCAAGCTGCAGGTGAGTGGGGCCGGAGCCTGGTTCTGGGAATGGAGAGGTGGCACCCCGTCATACCAGGGACACCAGTTAGCTTCCCTGGGCCGCACAGAGCTCCTGCTGTGGGCGGGAAAGAGCAACTTTTGAGACTGGGTGGCCAGAAAGACACAGCCCGGTGTGCCAAGCGCCTCGTGGGCTTGGATCTGCTTCTCACAGTGGGCTTCCCCGGAGACTGCCACGCCTGTTGGAGGGTTTGCGGAGGCAAACTGGGAGCAGATGCCTGGAGCCGTGTCTGCTTGGGTCCCAGTGCTCGCTGGTTGGTATTCTCTGGTGTACTGCGGATGGGTGGTCCGTTGTGTCCCCCTCAGAGGTGGGTCGGGAGACATTTTGTTGCCGAAGGGTTTTGGTATTTGTAATGTCGTATTTTGGGTATACACATGATCAGTGCTGCAGGTGGCCTGCCTGTATGGTCACGTGTCAAATGTTTTCTTAGGCCTAGATGGGCCGTTGTTCCTACCCTGGCTCTATGGTACCGGTGTTACCCTGTGCCTCAGTTTCCAAGGAGGCCTTAAGCATCTGTCATTTAAATGGTTGTAGGCACGTGTTGGATCTATTTTCCATCTTACGCTGGTGCTTGAAAGTAAGTGAGCTGTATTTGCTGGTGATGAGGGGAGGTGCCGACGGGCCGCTGTCCCGAGGGCCTAGCGTTGGCGACTAAGTGTGGGAGGTTTCTGTCTGGTTTGCCTCTGCAGGCTTCAGTGCTGCTCCTGAGCTTGTTTTCCCACAGCACTGCTGCTTGCGTGGCAGCCATCTCTGTGTCTTCTCTGCCGCGGTGTGCTCTGTGAGATGACATCACCCGGGTTTTAGATGAGGCCGTTATATTGACTTCCATGTTTGCCATAAAACATTGCTGTCTGTGCCCAATTTCTTGCTGTAGCAACACGCTGGGCCTGGTTCCTCTTCAGGACGGCTTTGTTGCATGTCCTCGTCCCGTTGGTGGCTGAGGGAGGAGGGTAAATGTGCCATGCCCAGCTGCCCCCACCAGGGCCAGCCTCTGATGGAGAAGGGCCTTGGTTACCAAGAACAGGCCTCAAGAAGCAAGGACAAGCTGGTGGCACATACTGTCACCCCAGCATCAGAAGGGAGCAAGTTTGAGGCCAGCTTGAGCTATATACTGACCGAGATCCTTTCCCAAAACTAAATGACAACGATGAAAAAGAAATAGAGGTAGACCAAACAAAAGATGATCCCAAACCTGTATGGCAGGAAGGGCTCTTTTTTCTTTAAGGTTTTTGTGTGTGTGTCACAGTCTTGCTGTGGACTCTAGGCTGAATTTGAACCCATAGTCCTCCTGCATCTACCAACTACATGCTGGGGTAATTAGTGTGTACCACCGAGACAGGAGGGACTTCTTAACACTTGTGTCTGACACACATTGAAAGGAAAGGGTTGAGAATGAATCTACTCTCAAATCATACAAGCAGAAAACAAGGCTGTGTGTGTCCAGGTGCTGTAAAGATAGCTCTGGTGGTTAGGGGGCGTGGTTGGGGAACCATTGGGAACACCCCCGTCTTGTTGAGTTGCTTGTGGTAGTTTTTATTGGTAGTGTGACTGCAGAGTTCAGAACCAAGACAGGTTAATAATGTAGCATTCCTCTTGAACACTGGAGAGAAAGTCTGCTTGGATGACTCAGCCTGCAGGAGGGATTGAGTACACCGCTGCTCTGTTTATTTTCTTGCAATTATAAATGAGCACTATAAGCAGTAACAAGGTAAAGTTGCTTTGTGGCTAGTGTACCAGTCATATATTTGAAAATAGCTCAGGTTAGAGCATTTTTTCCCTCTCTTTCTGGTGTTCTTTCCATTTTGGAGGGACAGCCCTGGTGAGTTGGGATTAGCAGATTCCACTGACTGGTGAGAGGAAGCAGCCATGGATCCCGCCCTGGGGGTAGGTTAAGGCTGTGGCCAGGGAAGGATGGCGACCTCCGTGTTCTCTGACCCCTCCACTCTTGTCCTTGGCCAAAGCTGTGAATGAAGCCACCTGCACCTGGAGTGGCCAGCTTCCCCCCCGGAGCTACAAGAACCCCATCTACTCGTGCAAGGTGTTCCTGGGAGGCGTCCCCTGGGACATTACGGAAGGTGAGCTCCCTCCACAGCCTCCGCCGCAGTCCCCCTGGCTCAGCATTTCATAGCCCGGTGCTATGCTGTCAACAGAGGTCACCAGAGGTCAGGTCCCCGGTGTCTCCCCCACCTGTCTCCCCCACCGTGAGCCTGCAGGGAAGATGTGTGGGACCCTGTGCTGGGCTTTTCCTATGTGTGGGGGGGGCACGCCCCTGTGCTGTCCTCACTCCTCCTGTTCTTCTCTGCCTCTTTGCAGCTGGGTTGGTTAACACCTTCCGTGTGTTTGGCTCTCTGAGTGTGGAGTGGCCTGGTAAGGATGGCAAGCACCCCCGGTGCCCTCCCAAAGGTAATGTGCCTAAAGGTAATGCACACGTGGTAGGAGGTTTTTTTTTGCCCTTCCTCATATGTAACTGTCCCACGCGGTGCTGGGCTGTGCCTGCGCATGCGGGTCCTTTGGTAGCTGTCCAGGGCCTGTCCTCCCTTCTCAGCCTCACACACCTCCTGGCCCCTGTGTCCTCTGTCTGTCTGCGCTCACAGTCCAGACCCAAGCCCCAGGACATGTTCCACCCGGGGTGACGTAGCCCTCTCACTTGCTCTGCTGCCATTTGGGTTGTGGCCTGACCTAATTCTGAGATCCCTTTAGAGTAGGCAGGAATGAGGACCGAGCACCTGATTCCTCTCTGATCTGAAATGAGATCCTGTCCCTGTGCTGTTGGACTCTCTGCCATCTTCCCAGAATTAAGCCAGGGGTTTACCTGTGCTCTTGAAGCAATCCCGCCTCTCCTGGTGGCCCCCAGCGCTACCACCTGAGCCGTCCTGTGTTCTGAGGCAGTGTGTTTGTGGTAGGATCCTGCTCTGCTGGCCAGTGCCGTCGCCTCCCTGGCAGGAAATGCCGCACCGCACTTTCCCTGGGCCTGGCCGCAGGGCATGGCCAGGGCTTCCGTTCATAATTCACCAGGGGCAGACCTCCCTGCTGCAACAGGGAGCCAGCGGAGCCAGCTGCCTGCGGGACTCACGCGGCGCTGTCTCCTCTTGTTGGGAACAGGATATGTGTACCTGGTGTTCGAGCTCGAGAAGTCTGTGCGGGCCTTGCTTCAGGCTTGCTCTCACGACCCTCTCAGCCCAGACGGCCTGAGTGAATATTACTTCAAAATGTCCAGCCGGCGGATGCGCTGTAAGGAGGTGAGTCAGCGCCGTGGCCGCAGCCCGCCCTCTGCTCTCCAGTCCAGGATGTCAGCGGCATGCCCTTTCTGGGCGAGAGGGTCAGTGGGTTCCTTATCAGGGTGGATGTGCAGGCGGCAGGCTAGCATGCTGTCCCTGAGCACAGAGAGGCTCAGGGACAGCGCCCAGGCCCTGAGTTCAAACCCCACAGTTGGAAGAAAAAAAAATCTTCGGGCCTTAATGGCCTTGGGGGTAATGGGAATGTGTGCATTCGTGCACCGGCCTCCTGCTGTGGTGATCAGGTGATCCCTCCCTTCCTACCTTGCCCAGACCCGTCCTGGGGGCTCTCTCTGATGCGTCCTGCTCTCAGGCAGGGCCCTCTTCCCCTCGGAGGCGCTGGCGGGTTCTCCTCCAGCCCACACCCACCAAGGCTTCTTCCTTCCCACTAGTGGTGTCATTTCCTCTGTGACACTCTCCGTTCGCCTGGTGACGTCAGTGCTGTGTCCCTGGCTTCATGGAGTTACTTTGGAGAGCCTCACCCCAGTCCTGGTGGGGTTTAGAAATCTCCACTCTATTCAGGCTCTCAGAGTGATTCTAGTGGATGGAGTTGGAGAGTCACGTATTCTGGGTTCAAGAATCTGAGCACATTGCTTTTGTGATATGGGGCTAGACACTTAATATCTCTGAATGTTTACTTCTCCTCATCTATAAAACAAGGAGCTAAAATTAACTTTTTTAATTAAAAAGATCAAGAGTTGCCAGGGCTTAGAAGGGGACAGGAATATGCATAGCCCAAGGTTTTCAGGGCAGTAAAGCTACTCTGGTTTTGTAATGGGGGGTAGATGTCATTATAACTCAGTCTATTATAACTCAGAATACATGACCTTAATCGAGGTGAGCTGTGGGTGTGAGGGCCGCTGTGCCACACCCGCCCAGCATGCCATGTGTTGGTGGTTGGGGACGTGAAGCTCCTGGTGCCTTCTGCTCACTTCACCGTAAACTCAACTGCTTTCAAAAATCACATCTGTAGTTTCACATTTTTAACGTAAGAGATATTATTATATATATTATAATATATTAACATAACCTGTTAACAAATCTGGTTTTTTTATATAGTTGTTTCCAGTATTACTCAAGTTCTTTCTCAGTGACAGAGCAAATGTATTCTCTGGCTGCACACAGCTCCCATGGCTGTGACCCATAGCTCCCTCCTTCCCTTGGTCCTCTTGCTACATGGTGCTTGGCAGCAGCTTCACCTCCTCACATCACACAGGCTTTCCCCTCGCTCCCTGCTTCTGCACACAGAACGGCACCCCGTGGAGCGCCCACCCTGAGGGCCCTGGTAACACACGCTCCCTCCCACGCCCCCCTCATTGCCTTACAGAAATTGGACATGTTTCTGTGATGCTTTAAAGGCTACAAGCTGTTCTACTTCTCTAACTCTTCTTTTTCCTTTGTGTCTTCCTCCGACTCCCATTCACTCCTTCCTTTCTTTCCACTCTGGATTAAGTGCTCACTTGGTGGCTAGGCTCGGGCCTGTAGACCAGATTGATTTGGGCCTTGCTCCAGTTCCTGTTGACCCGGATCGGCCCAGGCTTCCGCTTCCTGTGGGACCCTCCTTTGGGATGTCCTATGGGCCTCAGTGCTTCCTTGCTGGAATTGGCTTCCCTGGGTAACTCTGCCTGGGCTATCGTTCCTGACTCCCTTTCCCCGTCCAGGCAGTCTGGCTTCCGCAGGCTTTTTTCTCTGTTCTGTGCCTGCAGTGCCACTGCCACCATCCAGGGCTCGGCTGCTGCTCCTTTAGACTTGGCCAGTTTCTTTTATTTTTTTTTTTTGTCAGTCGTGGGGCTTGAACTCTGGGCCTGGGCACTGTCCCTCAGCTCTTCAGCTTCAGGCTAGCGCTCTACCACTTGAGCCACAGTGCCACTTCTGGTTTTCTGGTGGTTGATTGGAGATAAGAGTTTCATGGACTTCCTGCCTGAGCTTGCTTTGAACCGCGATCCTCAGATCTCAGCCTCCTGAGTAGCTAGGATGACAGGCGTGAGCCACCAACGCCCGGCTGACTTGACCAGTTTCTACCTCAGGTCTCTAATTATTTCACAACTGGTGTTAAAGATCATCATCGATCACTTTTCCAAAAACATCTGTTGGCTGTCTGTCTGCGAATTCATAGTGGACTCTTCCGCCTACTCTACCTTTTTGTTTCTGGCCTTAGAAGTTTTGGAGGCAAAGACACCATCAGCTCCTGGCCAGCATTCCTCAGTCTGTGGGGCCTCTGTGCTGAGGCTGAGCTCCGCTGCCAGTGCCCGGCCGCTGCCTCCCGCGCCAGTATCTGTCTGTCTCCCCAGCCTCAGACATGTCTGCTCTCAGCTCCTAACTGCTCTGTGAATCCTTCCTTTCCTGGAGGCCAAGTGTGCTGTTTATTCTCAGTCTCCAGGACGCTGGTGGCGGCTGTGCACAGCGGCAGGTTCCTGGGCTGGCAGGTGGCATGTTGTTCACTCTCCAGGATGGTGAGTGGCGCTCTTCCACTTGCTTTCACATGAGCTCCAGTTGTACTGGCACTGGTGCCTTCCAGAGGCCTGTACCTGGTACAGGTGATAATGTCTTTTCAGCCCAGCGGACCCTGCAGGTACCTCTGGAGCACGTGCCTGCCATCCAGGACACTCTCTGGCTCTCTGCAGGGCTGATGGGCCTTTTTGGGGTTCCAGGTGCAGGTGATCCCCTGGGTCCTGGCTGACAGCAACTTCGTCCGGAGCCCGTCCCAGAGGCTGGACCCCAGCAGGACGGTGTTCGTGGGTGCCCTGCACGGGATGCTCAATGCCGAGGCCCTGGCTGCCATCTTGAATGACCTGTTTGGTGGAGTGGTGTATGCTGGGATTGACACTGATAAGCACAAGTACCCCATTGGTGAGTGTCCTGCTGACACGGATAAGCCCAAGCACTCCTCTCACACTCTTGGTGAGCGTCCTGCTCCTGTGTTGGCAGTGAGGCGATGCCTTGGTGCAGGCAGGGAGAGGCCTGACCCTGCCTGCAGCCTCACGTCAGCCCCCCCCCCGACAGGCCACCGGGGCGGCCCCAGCCCCTTTGCACTCAGCTTCCATTCCCACCCCCATGTGGGGGGGAAAGTGCTGGCTCTGGTACAGCAAGAATGAAGTGGTAGCTCTGTTGGTAGCTCAGGGTTGTTAGCTGACCGGTCAGGACCGACACCAAGCAATACTTAATTACCACACCTTTCTGAACTTACCAGTGTCCTTTATTTAGAAGGTTTTGAGTACAGGGGAAGTGGCAGCCATCCATCTACAATCCCAGCTACTTGGAGGCAACGATGAGGAGGATCCCAGTGCGAGGCAGCCTCATGGCTGTGAGCCCCATTGCCTGGGGAGGGACGGGTGGCCATAGATAGGAGGATCACAGTCTGAGGCTTGCCTTGAGCCCCTCTCTGAAGAAATAAAGCAGAGGCTGGGGTTGGAGTTCAAGTGGCAGTGTGTCTGCCTGGCAAGTGCACAGGCTCAAGCCCCAGGACTGCCAGAAAAGAAGCAGGTTCTTGAAATGCACCAGGCCGTCTAGGGGCAGAGACCAGGCCAGCTGGAGGAAACCGCCTGCCTCCGTTTGTCAAAACCACTGGGTTTTGACCAGCTCCTGTGAGCAAGGTTATTTCACAGATACGGAGGTAGAATTCGGAGCCTCAACTCTGTGGTGCATACGTGTCAGACCCTCCCCACCCCAGCTTTCCGTCTGCAGCCCACACCACGTCTGGCCAGGAAGGAGCACGGTGTGCTGCTAGGCAGTGCTCCTCCCGACTGAGAACAAGGACTCCAGGGCTGCAGGCGGCACTTGGCAGGACAGGGCTTCTGGATCTCCTGCTAGGGCTTCCGGCCTGTTGTCCTCCAGAGAGGGATTCCTTCTGCATTGTGGTTTCTACGCTGAACCTGCTTCTGATCTCCCCATCAGTCTGCATGGAGCGGCCCTGTTCCTCCCTTCCCTCCCTTCCCCTCCCCTCCCCTCCCCTCGGGGCAGCTCCTGCCCATGTGAATGTGGTAGCCACTGTTGAACTGTGGCTCTGTGGCTGTTGGAAGTGAGGTGTTGCCACATGCTAAAATGATTATTTTGGACACATGGGTTCAGTAAGATGGTTCCCCCCTTTTATTTCGAAATTACTGCTACAAAACTAGAAGTTACACGCCTGCTAGCATGATCCTTCTGTTGGGCAGCATTGGCATAGAAGCAGGGCGTGGTGGTGTTGGCACGGGCACTGGAGCTGGGCTGAGCCCTGTCTTGCTCCTAGGCTCTGGTCGTGTGACGTTCAGTAACCAGCGCAGTTACCTGAAAGCCGTCAGTGCCGCTTTTGTGGAGATCAAAACCACCAAGTTCACCAAGAAGGTGAGTGGGCTGGTTTCTGGCCTCATTCTGGGGGTGTCTGAGGGTTTGGGCCATTTGCTACCCAGTTCAGGCCTGCATCTAGGGACCCAGCCAGCTGTAGAATGAGCATGAGGTTAGGGGTTTGGTTGTCTGGTCTTGGGCTCCGCAGGAAGGAGACAGTGGGACAGTTGAGCTGCCCAAGGGTGTAGGGTGCCTGGCCGCACATGGCCTCTGTCTGCTGAGCGGCCCAGCTTCCCCTTCTCTGGATTTCCTACACCTGCCTGGTGGGGGCCTAGGTGGGTCCAGGAGAAGACGGCTGGGCCCAGCACCACCTGAGCTGTCTCCCAGGACCCTGCCCCCTTGTCTCTCTGGCATCTGGCATTCTGACACGGGGCCATGACCCTGTGTGCCTGGGCCGCGATGGTGCTTCTGGCCCCGTCGGAAGAGCCGTTTCACCCTCCTCCGTGCTTGTCTGCAGGTCCAGATTGACCCCTATCTAGAGGACTCTCTTTGTCACATCTGCAGCTCTCAGCCTGGTCCTTTTTTCTGTCGTGATCAGGTGAGTCCCCACTCCCTGGAGAGGTCTGTGACCTCCATTAACAGTGGTTAAGCCCTACTTGTGACATACGGTGGTGGGAGCAGAGGAGAGAGCAGACGTGGACCCGTGATGAGTGGCGTGGCTGGAACTCCAGGGGAGGCTTGCCGAGTGGAGTCTTCTTCGTGCACTGCCGCTCTGTCGAGTGGATCAGTGAGCCAGATCACAGAATGATCTGCGCTCAAGTCTCCAGACGGATTTCTCTCCCTTCTGAGGGGAACCTGGGCCCCGGAGTTTGCTCCCCTCTGTCCCCTGGTCGACGCTGCTACTTGTGTCTGGTTCGTCACCGAGCCAGCAACAGAGGCAGTGTGGCCTCGTTCCACGGGATGTTTCTGGGTGATGGCACACGCGCAGGGCTGGTGTGGCGGGCAGGGCATGTGCCTGGACCTTGTTAGGTGCCGTCTGAGTCGGCGGGCTCGGGTGAGTACTGGCGTCTGTGGTGTTGATGCTGCTGTCATGATGTGCTCTGTCCACACTAGCTGTCCACACAGGCGTGCGTTTTGCTTCTCACAGTGACGCTGTGGTCCTGGGAGGCTCTGTAGTGTGAGTTCAGTGTGGGTAGGCAAAATCTGGCAAGTGCTCCCAGGGACAGCAGCCTTCCCCGGGCTCAGAGGCTGGACCAATACAGAGGTGTCTGTCCCCACTTCCCGGAGGAAACAGGCACGTCACCCCACGTGCCACGTGCCCCGACTTTCCAGCAGCCCTCCCACACTGGCCGCGCGTGCTGACCCAGCTGCTGTGGGCAGGCAGGGCAGTGAATGGAAGAATAGCTGCAGGCGGGAGGGGCGCAGGGAGCCGTGTGCTCCGGCACCCCTGAAACAAGACGGGCCTAACGGCCTCTTTCTGCTGGCTGAGGCTGGCACAGGGCCCCAGGCCTCTGCGGGTGTGGCGGTGCCATCTCCCCTCTCTGTTCCGCCACCCAGGTCTGCTTCAAGTACTTCTGTCGGAGCTGCTGGCACTGGCGGCACAGCACGGAGGGCTTGCGCCACCACAGCCCGCTGATGCGGAATCAGAAGAATCGGGAGGCCAGCTAGAGGAGCTGGCCTCTGGCAGAGCCGGGGCGCGGCGGCTGGCGGGTCGGCCGCAGTCCCTAGCCACTGGCGACCAGGGGGCCGGCTTCTCCGGGACAAGGGAAAATTGTAGTCACCTTTGCACTTGCTGAGTCTGTCTTTGTTTCTGCACTAATCGATGCACAGTGAGTTTTGTCGGGCTTTGTTTTCAGGGCGTGCGCCATGGCAGGCATCCTCTGGCTCACCCCAAGCGACTCCATCCTTCTCCTAGATTTCAGTTCCTCATTTTGCATATGAGAAGCAAAAAAAAAAAAAGGAACTATGTGTCCAGAAGGCATTGGCTCGGCTGCCTGCACCTAGGTTTGTCTATGCTCAGACGACAGAGGCGGCAGGCCATTGGTTTCGTTCTTGCGGTTGCCATACAGTGCCTTTCCATTGTTTAACCCCCACCTGAACGGCATAAACTGAGTGTTCAGCTGGTGTTTTTTACTGTAAACAACAAGGAGACTTTGCTCTTCATTTAAACCAAATCATATTTCATATTTTATGCTCGAGGGTTTTTACCAGTTCCTTTTTACACTCCTTAAAACAGTTTTTAAGTCGTTTGGAACAAGATACTTTTTTCTTTCCTGGCAGCTTTTAACATTAGCAGGTCTGTGTCCGAGGGACTGCGGGTCACTGTTCTCAAAAGTTGCAGATTCAAAGCATTTGCAACCAAGAACACACTTTTTTGTTTTATTTGAAACTGGACCGGAAGAAATGTTTGAGCGGCGGCTGCTGTATATAGTTTTAAGTGGTTTACTGCACCTTCTTCAGTTGCACTTGCGTGGGGGAGGGATGATAGACGTTTTTAATCACAAAGTCACAGGACTTTTTTCTTTTGTAACTGAGCTAAAAAAAAAAAAAAGGGCTGCTTTTGTGGTGGGGGCAGACGAGGCTCCGGATGCCCCTGGGCGGCCAGCTCCCTCCCCACACTTTCATTCGAGCAGAGAGTCAACAATGGACTGAAATGCTACTGGGACTTGAAAACGACTTTTTCCTTTCCGTTTCTTTAGTTTTAAATTACTACCTGCCCTTCCTAGGGAAGCTGTGTGCCAAAGAGCCAGTGTCATAGCCCTCCCCCGCGCCGCCCTGCTGTCCCAGCCGCTCGGTTCTGCGAAGCTGTGTGAAGTCTCTACCTCATTGTAGCGCCTGCAGGCAGCCGCACTCCTGCAGTGTGTGGGGTGAGCTGTGGTGTAGTTTTTCTGGCACATAATAAACACGTTGCAGCAAGTTTGCTTTTGTCTCTGTGCTTGGGGCGTAGAAGCCAGTGGGGAGGGGGTCGGGAGGGGTGCTTGGCTCCAAGTGGCTAGCGCTGGCCTGACAGGACAGCTCTGGACTGGCGCCCAGACTTCAGTGGGACAGCTCAGGTCGGCGCCCAGGCCTGAGTTCAAGCCCCATGCGGCTTCTGTGAGGGGTCCAGCCTAGGAGGGCGGAGGACCTAGGGGGACGGAGGACCTAGGGGGGCGGAGGACCTAGGGCGGCGGAGGACCTAGGGGGACGGAGGACCTAGGGGGACGGAGGACCTAGGACAGAGGACCTAGGGGGGCGGAGGACCTAGGGCGGCGGAGGACCTAGGGGGACGGAGGACCTAGGGCGGCGGAGGACCTAGGGGGGCGGAGGACCTAGGGGGACGGAGGACCTAGGGGGACGGAGGACCTAGGG